ATGCACAAGTGTCAGTCTGGGGACCACCCACCTAATACCGAAAAATGTTTCAGTTTGTCAACTAGCACAATAAAACCATATGAAGTCTAAAGTAATGATAACTGTAACAAACCTGCACCCGTACGCCTCATTAGGTGTAAGGAGCGGTGGAGCATCGTACGCCTAATACTGGTCGTCCCGGTCCTACTCCCCCCCAACGATGTCTAGTAGGGCTACCTGGTCTGCCTACATGGATATGCTCCCAAGCCCAGAACTAAAACAGAAATACAAAACTAGGTTTAGTATAAACTAGGTAAGTGGCTTTCGAAATAGGTTGTTGGTAATTAGGTGAGTTACCTGAAGCACAATCAAGGGACCTCCGATATCGTTAGAACCGCGGTGGGATGCTCTACACAGCTGGCGATACAACGTCGCCAAACAGGCACTACCCCAGCTGTAGCCACGGATATGATCCCATTCGTGGTCTAACAGCTGTAGGTAAATAAGCTGCAGATGGCTCCCGCTCTTGTTGCTAAACAAGGAGCCCGAGATGAGAAAGAACAAGTACGCCCGAGCGTATCTCTGAACCGTGGCGTCATCAGCGCCCAGAGGCAGCTCACGGAAAGTCTCGCGTACCCAGCCGGTCCTCAACCCGGACCCCTTGATCTCGTCGGGACCTGGCTGAACCCCGAGAACCCGAGCTACCAAACTAATGGGATCGACTAACGCATGTCCTGTCACCGCAGTACCATGTATAGGGAGGCGCGTGAGTATCGCGACGTCCCGCTACATAACGGTCGCCTCCCCAACAGGTAAGTGGAAGGAGTGCGTCTCCTGTCTCCACCTCTCCGCGAGCGTAGTGACAAGCCCTCGATCGATCTCCCTGAACGCCATCTGATGAAAACCACCCAAGCCAACCAACTCGACGTACGCAATAACGCGTGGATCGATAACCCATTCCCCCATAAACCTGGTAGTATAATGCCTGCAAACCAGCTGCTTCACTAGATTAGCCTGATTAAAAATCGTACGTACGTAATTAATATCAAATATTATATCAATTTAACATGCATAAGTACATGACCGGACGGATGAAATATTATCGTCTGGTCCCATATGGCAACGCTCCGATGTGTGTCCTGTAGTGTCAGCACAGAAGGGTCAACGGGTCTGGGCGTCCTATCTTCTCTGTCCATGATATCTGTTCATTGAAAATGTTATACACCAAATACCAACACAATTATCGGATTAGCAATTAAACATAAGCTGGACGAGTTAAAGGCAGAGACAGAGGCCATCTCGTTGCGTGACATGAACCCGAAGGCAGCCCAGGAACCAAGACCAGCTGGAAGTGTTTTCCCCTTCAACCACCACAAATGCTAGCGGAAATACTTGGAAGCTTGCATCCACACTTGTAGAAACCAACAGTGTTCCTTTATACTTCCCGTACAAGTGCGTGCCATCGATACAGATAACAGGCATACAATGTTTAAAACCGTCGATACAAGGATCGAAGGCCCAAAACACTCGTTCAAAGACTTCCATGTTGCTGTAGTATACACCATCCACCAGAGCTTTGTGTTTCCATACGACAACGGTTCCCGAGTTTGACTGTTTTAGTGCTTGCATGAAGTGTGGAAGTCTGTCGTAAGAACTCTCCCAATCCCCAAATATTTCAGCTATAGCTTTCTCCTTTGCATACCATGCTCTTCGATACGGAACATCGAAATGAAATTGCTTGGAGATGAGTTCCTGTATGAATTCAACTTTCAAGGACGGATCTTTCCGCACAAAGGACTTCGCATACTCTGATATTATGGACGAATCCAAGTGTGGGTGATCAGTAGATAGTACTTCAGTGACATAGTTCTCCCAGTGCGGGCCTTTGTACGTGACTAGGGTAAGGCCATGCGAGTGCTCACTTGATTTGGTACCCCGTAGCATCCAACCACATTTCTTCTTGCACCGCAAATGAAGAACACTCTCATTCGATGTCACTGTGGTGTACAATTGATTCCTCTGTATAGAATACATCTTCACCATTTCTTGAAGCAGTTTCTTACTTTCAAAATACATGCCTTTCTCAAATTCTCCCCCGGGAACAAACGATGTATGGCTACCCGATTCGGCCCCCCAATACTGATCAACTTCATAGTTCTCATTTACCTGACTGAACCAAGGTACATGAGTTCTAACCAGGGGCTCGCCAACTTCCATGTGTGCAGGTTCACCATCCATGTTTTGAAGTCCATCTTCCTCCTCTCCACTCTCGGCCTCATCATTTGTATACACATCATACACAGACAATTCGTTATTCACAATAGTTTCAAGATGATTTGGCACAAGTTGAGACGGCGATGCTTGAACATCATCTTGCATAGGCGAATAACTATGCAATTGCATCAGTGAAGGTGTGACGGTGTTGATGCCGAAGGCCCTGGTTGGCCGGTCATTGCCACATATGCCCCCTTATGTACAGGTGAAGCTATATGAGAACTAAACGGCATGTGAAATTGATCGTCGTGCAGCATTCGACTGAAAGATCCCATCCCATATTCAGTTGATGGAATGTCGTGTGAGGGCACTTGGAAGGGCTCTGTGTTGTAACCGGAAATATATGTAGATTGTTGTTCTGCCCGAGTACTTTGTTGTGTACATATAGGCACCATTTCTACATATATCTCAGTGGGAACCCCCTTCATTGCAACAACGCTCCTCAAAGCTTTCAAATGTTTATTTGTAGAAACAGGTAACACTTGAACCCCTTTGCCAGTCTCAAACCTCATTTTAATGTTTAGTTCAACATTCCTTGGGTTTGAACCTCTACTATGAACCTCGTTCACCAAATCCTTAAAAGTCATGTTCGGTTCAAGTGTTAGTGGTTCCATATATCCTCCACTATACTCGACACGGGGTCCATCGAACATAATTTCACCTCCCCACAGGCATAACAAAACTACATTTTGTGCAGCCATATTCTACATAACAACCAAAACACATTACACTTAAATGCACTAAATCATCCCTAAATCGCCATAATTAAATAACAATGTAGACATACTTTTCAATTTACAACAACTTAGTATCACTACATCACCATTAATAAATAATAATGTAGGTTATCACAATCACTCAAAAACTAACAATTATCAACCATTATCAACAATTACCAACACTAACAATTCAACATTATCCAAACTATTATCAACACTAACAATTTAACAATTACAAACACTAACAAATCAACATTACCAACACTAACAATTCAACATTATCAAGATTTTAACCATAATTCCATAAAATTAAAAACCAAAAACATAAACCCTAGAATTTTAGAAACCAAAGAAAGATTGAGTACATACCAAATTCGGGTTGAAGTGAGGCTAGGTTTTCAGGGCTTCCGGCGGCCGGTCGTCGGAGTGAGACGGCAGTGGAGGTGGCGGCCTGAACGGAGAAGCAGAAGGGTCTTGGAGAGAGAGATTAAGTGAGGGTGCGCAAGTGTGGGAATGCAGGGAGAAGGAAGCTCGTTGTTGTAAAAACAGGAAGAAGCTCGCTGTTAAAAAAAAAAAAAAAAACTCGCAAGAAACGCTGCCTGAGGCAGCGTTTTAGGGTCTTTATTTTATTTTTTTTTATAATTTTTTTATAAAACTATGAATTACGAAATTTATTTTTTAAAAAAAAAGTCAACAGGTAAAGCGCTGTCCTAGACAGCGTTTTACGCATTGAATTTTTTTTTTTAAATAAAACTAGGGTATAAAACGTTGTCCGAGACAACGTTTTATCCCTGAAACTTAGTTTGGTAAATAGTTTTGTCACGCAACCATTTTGCAAAATACTTTGCAAATAGAGCTTAGTTTGGGAAAACGTCCAGAATATGAAGTTGTTGAATGCAATGAATTTGTCATAACAAGGGTGCATTTCGAGACAACTCTTCGAACTATTACATTAAGGCCACATTAGAAAATAACACCCACAAAAGACCTCGATTTTGATAATAACACCATCGAAAAAAAAAGTTTTATTATAACACCATAAAAAATCCCAAAATTTTGGTTTCACCGCCCACTAACGAAGTTTTGGAAAAAAAAAAACCTAACCCCCTAACCCAACCAGCCCCACCACCGGCACCACCTGCCCCAGCCGCCGCTGCCGCCGGAATCCCCTGCCCTCACATAATCCGGCGAAATCAGCCCCAGCCGCCTCTTCCCTTCTCTTTCTAGCCCAGCCCCTACCGGAAAATGCCTCGTTCCCAGCACGCAACCACCTCCACCCCCAGCGAGCGACGCAGCAGAGGACGAGGAAGGCTCAGTCACATCACTGCCTCCCCACCATCTCCCGATGATTCCCTGGACAAAGATCGAAGAGATCTACTAAACTCAGACCCATTACCTGCCGTTGAAACTGCCTATGCAACCATCAGGCGAGAGATCTCACGCCGGGGCATCATGGGATCGGAAAAACCCTCATCGGATACTGAATCCTCGGGAATAGGAAGCGGTTTTGCTGCAAAGGGACGAACAGAGAGACCACAATTCCGGGATTTTTGGTGGGTGGTGAAACCAAAATTTTGGGATTTTCGGTGATGTTATACTAAAACTTTTTTTCGGTGGTGTTATTATTAAAATCGGGGTGTTTGGTGGGTGTTATTTTCTAATTTGGCCCTACATTAATGATAGAACAAGTAACTTCACTGAAGTTACCACTAAATTGAAGGCAAAAGGAGTCGACTTGGATAATAATCGATTTTTGATCCTTCAGGTCTATTAGATTTAGGAAAAATTGCATTAAATAATACGACCTTTGCTTCGTCCGCTAAAAACAAGTTGACCTTTTGTTTATTTCAGAATAATACGACCTTTAAGGGTACTCCGCTTTAAACAAGTGACCGGTTATTAACTTGATTATCAGGTTATATGGACACGTGTCATTGTTTGATTTGTTTGTATATTTTATTTGTTTTTTATTTTTTATAATGTTTTTAATTTTTAAAAGATTATTAATTTTTTTATTTTATTTTTTTAAAAAAAATCCACCACCATCTTCCCCACCAACCACCAGCCACCGGCTGCCACCCCTTTCCCCTTCCCCGGCGTCTGCTAGCACCCCCTCCCCGCCCTCCGACGCCGGCCGCGCCCAGATATCCCTCCTCCGGCGTGGACTCCGCTCCCCTAGTTAGTCGTTTCAAGGCGGGGCGTTTTATGGTGGGGTTAGGGTGGGGTACGTCGTTTTAGGGGTGGATGTCGCTGGGGTAGGGTGTTTCGAGGGTGGGTGTTTCTGGGATGAGGTGGCTGGTCGTGAGTGTTTTGTGCTGGGGGTGGTCGGTTTTTAGGGAAAGAGTGGGGTGGCTGCCTGGGTTCTTGGCTGGAATCAATGGACGAAGGAGGGGAAGGGGAAAAGGATAAGGAAGGAGGAAAGGTGATGGAGTTGGCTCCGGCAAGGGGAGGGATTAGCTCCGGCAGGGGGAGGTGGGTCGGTCCGACAAGGGAAATGATCGGCGCCGATGCCGTGGGAGGGGAGATCTAGGCGCGGCCGGCGCTGAGGGCTGGGTTGACAGGTTGCCGGGGAAGGGGAAGGTCGCCGGGGAAGGGGAAAGGGTGGCTGGTGGTGGAGGTGGGTATTATTTTATTTTTTTTTAAGATTTTAATTAATTTAATTATTAATTAACTATAATTAAAGTTTTAATTAAGAGTTAATTAGATTATTAAACGAATTTATTGAATATTTTAACCGGTTATTTAGGTTGTAGGTAAAATAACTTGTTTAAAGCGGAGTACCCGTAAATGTCGTATTATTCTGAAATAAACAAAAGGTCAACTTGTTATTAGCGGACGGGGTAAAGGTCGTATTATTTAATGCAATTTTTCCTTAGATTTATTGCAATTTAAATTTTTGGTTCAATTTTCTTTTCTGTTTATTTCAGAGTATTTCATACAACAGTAACTCATGTTGGTTGGCTGTTGTTGTTGGGTTGTAGGGCGAGGTTGAACAAATTTCACTAATGAAGCCGAAAGCTCAAGGACCTCATGATGAAGAGTTTTCTCTATTCAGCTTTTAGTATTGCAAGATAATAAGTCATATTCTTTGTATTTATGGTAATGCTATTTAATCTTGGTGAAGTTGTTTGTTCAAACTTTTTATTTTTCTGGTACTCGATCTCATTAGCAAATCAATCTGGTAGGAACCTTTGAAGTTGTATAACATGGAGAAACTGAATAGATTTAAGCGCTAAAACACAAATATTTCTATTCAACTTATAAAGAGTAGTTGCCCCATTCATAGCTGTATTCTTGCAGAGGTGTATTAGCTGCGAGCTGCGAGCTGCTTTTGCACCGTGCTGTACTCATGTCAGGTTAAGGATTATAGTGATCCATTTTAACTTTGTTTAATAAAATCTGCATCATCAGATTAGAAGCTCTAAATGAGAAGAGATCTGGAGTTGTGCAGATGGTCAAGTTGGCCGAGAAAGAAAGAGACAGCTTAGAGGTATTCACTATTATATTATATCATTATAGCCTTTGCAATTGTGCGTGTTAAGGACTTTGAAGAGGCAAATGAAAGTCCTTTACTGAATCTGTATTGTCATGATCAACAGGATGTGAAGAATGAGGCAGAATCTTTTATGCTGAAGGAACTATCACTGTTTAAATGGCAAGAGAGAGCTACAAAACTTGCTGCTGAAGACAACAATGCTAAAATGGCTGAGCTGCAAAATAACTTGTCCAGCTTGGAAGAAAGTTTGAAGTTGAAAAGGTGTTTTTGGTCATATGTGATTAATACAATTTTTCTCTTACATGAGTGTATTTTCTAAATGTCATTCTAAACACTTGTCGTAGAGAGGAGATCCAGGGAAATAAATCTACTTTGAAGGAGCTTGAGACTTTGCACAATAAATATCTCAAGAGACAAGAGGTTTGCATCATTTGATTCCAACCATTTATATCTTGTATATAGTTGCACATCTTAGGTGTTGAAGCTGACATTAGCACTTCAGCTAAATCTTGATTGCTTTGTCAATTGTGTGTTATGCATGTTGGAAATCCCAGGAACTTGATAATGACCTCAGGAGTTGCAAAGAGGAGTTTAAAGAGTTTGAAAGGCAAGATGTTCAATATCGTGAAGATTATAAGCACATGAAGCAAAAGATAAAGAAGCTCGAAGATAAAATTGAAAAGGTTGGATTAATGTCATTAATTGAACATACGACTCCTTTGGCAAATTTCTAATTATTGGTCTCAAAATAGGATTCGTCGAAGATCAATGACTTTACAAAGGATTGTGAGAATGCCACACAAGCAATTCCAAAACTGGAGGAAGATATTCCTAAGCTGCAAAAGCGCTTGGTGGAAGAAGAGAAGGTTTTGGAAGAAATAAAAGAGAAATCTAAAGGTGGATTTTCACTTTTATATAAGTTTATGATGCATTGTCATTTTCTGTTGCCTGAATGATTTATTAATGTTCATGTTGTACTTTTTTATGCTATATGTATTAATTTCTCGAAGGACTGCCAGACCTTCTGAAGTCAATATAGTTTAAGAAAATTGTTTGTGTCAGAATTTACTGCTCGTCTTTGTTGCCTGGGATTCTTGTGCAAGTTTGTAGTTTGGATTTCCCAAGCTTTTTTTTTCTTTTTTTTCTAATTTATTTATTACATAAATGCTTTGATAGATCTTACTTTGGCAATTGAAGATTTCAAGTTTTAACGTCTATAAATATGTTGATATCTTTGAGCAGTCACTATTCCAAATATAGCAAGGTGCATTGAATCATTAGAATTTGTTTCTTTTAAAATTTTCTTGTTCAAATTTTACAAACCGTGTTAGCTGGTTTTTGGTATATCTGCATGCTTAATACTTCGTACTACATTTGTAAGCTGTCAGATCATGGCTGCGTGAAATGTACGTATCTTTGATAAATTGTTATTATTCTACAGCGTAATCTGTTCTTTTTTATTTTTTTATTTTTATGCTAACTTTTATTGTTATAAAATACTGAGAATACTTTTTGTGATGGACAATGGATGTATTGTCTTCCTCGTTAAGTTTGAAAATTCAGTTAGAAACTATTTTCCAATTGGAACCTGAACTTGACCTCAGATTCTATACATCTTTTGTGAAACATGTCAATCTTGATGAATCTTTGTCCTTTGAAAATGAAATTAGGTGAAACTGAGATTCATCGTTCTGAGTTGGCCAAGGTTCGCGCTGAGTTGGAACCTTGGGAGAATCAATTGATGGACCATAAAATTCTTTAACATGGATCAAATTCTTTAAGAAGTTGGCACATGTTAAGTTTTTATCGAGCATCTCTTGGTTTGCATCTTCTTCCAGTGTATTTGTGCATCATAAAGTGATCTTGATTTTATGTATGAGATGCAGATGATTACACTTGGCGGAGATGCAGAGCTGGAGTTAGTGGATTCTTTAGATCCTTTTTCTGAAGGGGTTGTTTTCAGCGTGAGACCACCAAAAAAGAGCTGGAAGAACATTGCAAATTTGTCAGGTGGTGAAAAGGTAAATTGCTTAGTGTTGTAGAGTTTCGTTTCAGATACTGCTCTCTTAATTTCCCTGATGCTGGTCTCAGCCTTTGCTGGTTTGCCTTTTTCTTTCAGACTCTCAGCTCTTTAGCGCTTATTTTTGCTCTTCATCACTACAAACCTACCCCACTTTATGTGATGGATGAGATTGATGCTGCACTTGGTATCTTCCTGAATCATTCATTTTTTTTTACTGATCCTTAAATTTGTGGATTCCTGCTTGAGTGAGATGTAATTTTGCAATGCAGATGCAAGTAAGTTTTGTTAATTTGTGGGTTTTTGTTAAGGTCAGACTGTGTGATTCTGTCCATAATCTACAAATCATATACATTACTTGGATTGTAATATTGAAATTGGAGTTTTCTAATTGGTTAATACATGTGTTGACAGTAGTTCTGAATTACTAATGTCTTTGGGACGGCACTTTCATGGCTTTGTGAACCTTGCTGTCATTTAACTCATGTTTGTATTATTTTTTTTTTCGGAATTAGGCCATGGTGAATGTTTTTGTCATGGTCATGCTCTCTCCCTTCAGGTTTAGTCCACTGTGAATTTCGATGTTATTGATGTTGGTTTTTACTGATTTCGATTGTGTTAAGGTCTCTGTTCATTTTTCATTCTGAAATTTTGGTTTGAGCATAATAATTTGAGTTTTGAATTTCGATGTTATTGATGTTGGTTTTTACTGATTTCGATTGTGTTAAGGTCTCTGTTCATTTTTCATTCTGATTTTAATTAAAAGGATTTTATTTAAGAGGAGCTTTTAAGATATAAATTCGTAAATTGTGTTGGTTGTTCTATGAGCTTCTGGATTTTTGTTGTTGTTTAATGATAAATTATTTTTAAATCGGTTCTGATAATTTTGTTCTTTGTTGCATGCAGTTGAATGCTTTGCCTTTGGTGAAGGTGTTAGTGAGCTGGGTGTATCTGCTGTGAAGGTACTTATTCTGATTTCACAATTCATAAGCTCTATCAAATTTTGGTTTTCTTTTAGTTATGATGCATCTTCGATTTGTTTATGAGTTGGTGTTGTGGATTTTATACTTGATCTAGCACGTAGTTCTGTATTTTTAATTTTTTTTTTGCACTGGTTAAGCTTACTTATACTTCTTGTTTTATGAAGAGTGTTGAAGTTTATATCTTCGGGTATTTTTAGACTAGCATTGATTATAAATTAATGGCCCTATTTTCCGTGTTGTATTTCAGAATATGCATCAGGGGTACCCTACTGATCACATATGAGATTTCTCAAAGCTAGGGATTGGAATGTCGAGAAGGCACACAAAATGGTAATCAAGTTTGATTTCAGTTGAACCTCTGCCATACATTCTTGATTTCTTTAGACTAAACAAATAGAAGTTTTATCTGACATTAGTGAGTTTCTGCAGTTGTTTGACAGCTTAAATTGGAGGGTGCAAAATGATATTGACAATATACTATCAGTAAGTGCAACTAATGATCGCTGCTTTAGTTACAATACGGAGACATGTCAATTCACAGGTCATGATGTATATTATCACTTTATCAGTTATCATTAGCGTCTTCTAGGAAATTTGAGTCTTTAGGTGGGTGGATTATCATAAGGAGCCTATATTTAAGATATAACATTCTAATCCAGTGATTTCATTTTTCTAGAAAACTATTGTTCCTGTTGAGCTTTATCGAATAGTGCATGACTCTCAGCTTGTAGGACTTTCAGGTTACTCAAAAGAGGAAAAACTGTCTTCATCTATTTCCTCTGGGTGCATTTGGCTTACGGTACTGCTCAATACAGAATTACAATTGTATTATTTCAACTTATGGTGTTTTTTGGGTTAATCAAGGTATGCCTATTATTGCTGTTGGTGTCACTGTAAGTTAATCACTAATATATATATATATATATTTGTCATTTTTCCTTCCTAATTTCATTTGATCATTCTTTAAGATCCACTTATCATTCGAATGAAGTCATTAACATATAAAACATAAATTATTAGCTTGTAAAAAGGGAAAAAGAAGGCGATGATGAGCGAATATCTCAAGATGAAATGCTCTTGGAAGCTGCCCAAATATATTTTATTTTTGTAATCTTTCGTAAGTGTGGGTGGCTTCTCATATTAGTCTATTCTTAAGGTTTTTTCTTTTGTTCTGTATGTTTTAGGAATGGAGTTAGTATGTCTTGAACATTGAGTTAGACAAAATCATTGAGGTTTGTCCGTGATTATTAAGCTAATCTTCTTAATCCTCTCTATTTTGGAGTGTCCAGGAAAAAACTTTACATCTCTACCCATCAATCTTTTTATCCATCCCTCAGCATTCTGTCTTATTTTTGGAGTGGTTTGCAGATGTCGGAGTGATTAACATCTCAGTTCATTGTAAGTGCCAAAGTATGAGAGATCAATCTGATATAATATATATCTTATAGGTGTTTAATTTCGATGTTGATAAATCTTTGAAGTTCAGTTAAGCATGAGTATATAAAGGACCACATGTTATACAATTTGGTTCATGGTAATAGGTATATCAATTTGGTTGTTCTGTGTAAAGGCATAGTTACTATATCATACTTGAGCATCTTATTCGATCATTCTCTGTCTGAAATTTTTAAAAGCTCCCTTTCAACTTTTCAAGATTAATAATTGAAACTTATATTGTACTTCACGTGTTTTAGGTAAAATCAAGCTGGTTTCCAGAAGAAGGCTTTGAAAAATTCAGGTATTGCATATGAAATTGACAAAAATCATAAGAAATTAAAGCAGGAATACAATCTAGCTGAACGGCTGAGGTTCACAACTTATGTATTGGTAAATGCTTAATTTCGAAATTTTGAGTCTTCACTCCACCCGTGTGAAAGTAAACACAATCTCAGCTTGATTTCTGAATTGTTTAGTAGTACTAATTTAGGGTTAACTAATTCAAAAATGATATTATTGGGTTTGCATATTTACATATTAAGTATATTTATCATTATGATATTAAACACTTACCTATGTCATTTTGGGTTTTCAGAAAGTTATTGGGAACACTTATTTAAAGATTACCTATATCATTTTGGGTTATATATTATTTTGTTATATCATATATTCTCTGTATTATAATAACCCAATAACATCATTTTACAAATTAAGTATAAAAAACTTAGCCCATTGTATAATTAGCCCAAAATGATATTATTATTATTTTTTTTTAACATAAAATTGATTTTCCTTTGCATCAATTGTTGTCGCTTTTTTCTGTCATTTTGGTTACAGTGTCAGATTAATTGGGTTATATTTGTGGGATGAATTGGGTTATTTTTATTGGCTTTAGAAAGAGATATTTGGGATAAAAAAATTAATACTTCTATTGAAATCAATTATAAAATCAGAAATCCATATTATACCACATGAATTGGATTACCCATATTAAATTGAGGAAATCTACTGCTACAGATCTATAAATCGTCATATTACAGCAAGGTCAGTCAATTAGATTCCAGACCTGTGATAGATATTGATGGAACTTTAGCAGATATTTGTTGATTATGTTGCTCTGGTGCTGAGCATTTTTTTCATCTGTTTCGAAATTTGTGAATAATTTTAAGACATTTAATTTGCTATGTTTTGATCGCTTCTTTTGATAAGTTTATAGTTGAGTATGAGATTTTAATATGTTTGTTTATTGGGATTATTTGGGCAAGTTGTTGTTTTCTTTGATTTTTCAACAATTTTAGCTCGTAAAATTGCTAATTTTGATGATTAAATTGCTGATTACCCAGATTATTACACAATTGTCGTTTAAAAGTATGGATGCCTAGAGGATTAAAAAAAAAAAAAGTATATGACCCGATTATTGCCTAGAAATCTTCCTTTCTTAATGCTTAGTTAATTAATTATTCATAGGTTGAATCTCTTGTCAAAGTTTAGCAAGATATGGGAGATACCAGGTCTAGGTTCTCAAACCGAGATTTCATTTGCCGGAACTTTTGTTAGCAGTGCTATTGCTGCTTAGTTTGCTGAGGTAAACAAAAAAATTCACCATTAATATATTTTCAAATATTTTTATAAATTCATACATATTTTTGTTGTGGAAAAATGGTGTTTAATTTATTGTCTGGTGATTTGAATGTAATATTCTTTGTTATTTTCTTGCTTTATGTTTGATAACCAGAATTCTATTTAGTGGTTGGCCAGCCAGAAATGGTGAGGCTTTGTAGCTGGAGTTTGACATCCCTAGCATCTGTTTTCTTATTCTGTTAACATATGTTGTATTTAGTTGGTCCTTGGATCTGGTTTGAGTTACTTCTCTTCTTTTCTTTGTCTGAGCAGTAGTAGTCTTATTCCAGCAGCAGCAGCTTATTTCAGCAGCAGCAGCATATTTCAGCAGCAGCAGAAAATTTCAGCAGCAGCAACAGATTTCTGCAGAAGCAAATTTCAACAGCAGCAGCTTATTTCAGCAGAAGCAGATTTCAGCAGAAGCAAATTATTTCAGCTGAGGCTTATTTCAGCAGAAGCAGATTATTTCAACAGAAGCAGATTATTTCAGCAGCAGCAGATTTCAGCAGAAGCAGATTTCAGCAGCAGCAGAATTCAGCAGAATTCAGCAGAAGCTTATTTCAGCAGCAGCATATTTCAGCAGAAGCAGATTTCAGCAGCTTATTTCAGCACAAGCAGATGTCAGCAGAAGATTATTTCAGCAGAAGATGATTTCAGCAGAAGCAGATTGCAGCAGAAGCAGATTATTTCAGCAGCTTATTTTTGCAGAAGATTAATTCAGCAGCTTATTTCAGCAGCAGCAGATTTCAGCAGAAGCTTATTTTTGCAGAAGATGATTTCAACAGTGCAGAAGCAGATTTCAGCAGCCGCAGCAGCAGCAGCAGCAACTTCTTTCGAAAGACTTTGGTAAACATTCTAATAAATGAATGCAAATATACATTATGATTTCAATGTACTTATTTCGAAACAACTTCAAATATATTAGTAGTGGAATCTTAATTAGATACATGTATTTGGTAGCAATTCTTAACTCACTTTACATGGAGATCAATTCACAATATTAATGTGCAAAAGCCTATATAATTGTACTTCACGATTAAAAGATAGATAAAGCGCATGATTCAACAAACTTCAAAACCTTTCGCTTTTATTTTTTCCTTCAGCTTCATCGGTAGTTTACAGTGGTCTATTAACTTATTCAGCTCTATTATGAGACCTTTAAATCTATGAATACCCCTAAACCTCTGAAGAAGAATTTCAAGATCAACTAATGAAAAGTACAAAAGTATTTTTCTTACCTTTTTTGTTTATGACAGAAGTACTTTCGTACTTACCTTTTTAGTGAAATTATTTTACATCTATCTCATATACTAACTTTGAATCCAACAATCTTCTCTTAGATTACATTTAACACTAAAAATTTTAACGACATGCACAAAATACGCAAACATAATTACCGTGTAACAGAAACACCGAATACAGTAATCACCAATAATAATCGCCGTCATTGGGGTGCCGCGCGTGAAAATAGGATATCTAATGTTATTTATGAAAATAGTAATTCAAAAAACTTCTTTTTAACAACATAATTTAAATTACATCTATCCCATATACTAACTTTAAATACAACAATCTTCTCTTAGATTACATTTAACAATTTAAATTTTAACGATATGCATACAATACGCAAACAAAATTACCGTGTAATAGAAACACCGAATAAAGTAATCACTAATAATAATCACCGCCATTGGGGTGGCGCGCACGACGCCACAACTAGTAACAACTAAAAATGGAAACAAACACACCTTACACTCCGTAACAACAAGATCTAAAGCAGTAGCAACACGAAGTCCATACAACCTCGCCATCGAACTACCAACTGCAAGAAAAAACAAATTCAGCAAGTAAAAATCTAATCTAATATATATAAATAAAGTAGACATTTTTGGAGAGCATTCGGAGTGGCACGTAAGAAATATACGTATTTCGATCATTAAGAAAAAAGATTTGTATTTTATTTTTGAATTAAAAAATTATGTCACCACCATATAAAAGTAACGAATTAGATTTGATATATCTAAAATTTTAATGTCATGTAGATTCTAATCCACGAATTTAATTATTTTAATGAAAAAATAAAGTAAAAATATAGGAAAAGATAAATTTATTAATTCAATACTACGAGTATAAGAAATCCAAAAAAAATATACTAACAAATATTTAAATGATAAACGCTTATAATAAAGTTTGATACCTATCATTATAAGATAAATTTTGATAGTATTTATGATAAGAAATACAAATTGTAAAATTTGTAATACCTACCATTATAAATTGGCACATCATACGACATAAACAAAATTTCGTATCAATAAAAAACCCCATCAAGCGAATTTTGTGTTAGTAATTTTGTGTTAATTTTTGGTCATCAATGGACAGGTAATTTTTAGATTAATTTTTAAAATCCTATGTTTAAATTAGTATTTATAATTATTACTTACATTGTATTAATTTGGGATACTCAGCGATTATATGTTTATGTTTTATTTACTAAATGTTTTTTTATATGCAGATCTAACACGTCATACGACACAAATAAAATTTCGTATCAATAAAAAACCCAATCAAGCGAATTTTGTATTAGTAATTTTGTGTTAGTTTTCGGTCATCAATGTCCGGGTAATTTTTAAAATCTTAGGTTTAAATTTACGGATTTTTCACCAAATACCACTGAGTTAATGCGTAATTCACCATATACCACACAAAATTTTCTAATTCACCATATAGCACTGAGTTAATGTATATTAACACAGAATGCCATTTTTAGTAACTGTCGTTAACGCTGTTAGTAATTAAGACTAATTGTGCCTCGTGGCAGCTTGTAATTGGTTTCTTATTAATATTATTTAATTACTTAAATAAAGAATTAAAAAAAAACGGCTTGAATTAGAAATATTTTGGGGTTTAATTTGAAGTTAGGGGTTTAAGCTTGAAGTAGAAAAACCATCGAAAAAGAAAAAAAATGGTGTTATCAAACAAGAAATTGAAGCAGCAATTAAGAGCTAAATTTGCAGAAATTTCAAACTCTAAGAACCCAGGTTTCGAAATCGTAAAAAACCTAGATTTCGAAATTTTAAAAAGCCCAGAACCCCAAAATCACTGAAACAATTGGTGGATTCAACAACCTAGAAACCCAGATTATCAAAGAGAGAAAAACGCAGGGAAAATCTTTCAACCGGTGAAAATAAGGATACACATGTCGAAAAATCTTCAAAGGGGAAGAAAAGGAAGAGAGAGAAAGTGGGTGATGTAAATGAGGTTGAAGTTGAGCTTAAGGTTGACGAAAATGGCGGTGGAAAGCTTGAGGTTGTTGCAAATGCTGGCGAGGGTCAAACATTGAGTATCAAGAGATTGAAGAGGATAGAGAGGAACAAGAGAAGGGAGAAGGAGAAGAATGAATTGATAGCTAGAGAAATTGAATGGTGAAAATGGCGGTGGAGTTGAGCTTAAGATTGTCGAAAATGGCGATGGAAAGCTTGAGGTTGTCGAAAATGGCGGCGAGGGTCAAACATTGAGTATCAAGAAATTGAAGAAGATGTTAAATTGGGAGAAGGAGAAGAATGAATTGGGAGAGAAAAGTGAGGGTGATGTTAAATAGGAAATGAAAGAAGGCAGTGTTTTAAGCAAGGAAAAAAGAGTTCCTTTGAAGAAGAATAAGAAAAAGAAGAAGAAGCTTCAATCCACCAATGCCATCGTGTTTTTTTTTTTTTTTTATTTAAGTAATTATATAATATTAATAAGAACAAATTACAAGCTGTCACGTGGCATAATTATCCTTAATTACCAACGGCGTTAACGGTAGTTACCAAAAATGGCATTCTGTGTTAATATACATTAACTCAGTGCTATATGGTGAATTATAAAATTTTGTGTGGTATATGATGAATTACGCATTAATTCAGTGGTATTTGGTGAAGAATCCGTTAAATTTATATTTGTAATTATTAGTTACATTGTATTTATTAGGATACTTAACGATTGTATATGTTTATGTTTTAGTTACTAAATGTTTTTTTACATGCAGACCTAACACATTATACGACACAAATAAAATTTCGCATCAATACAAAACTCAATCAAGCGAATTTTCTGTTATTAATTTTGTGTTAGTTTTAGGTCATCAATGTCCGGGTAATTTTTAAAATCTTATGTTTAAATTTATATTTGTAATTATTAGTTAAATTGTATTTATTTAGGATACTTAACGATTATTTGTTTTTGTAATGACATACAATTAGATGTTGTATACTTAATATATGGATGACTTTGGTTATTTTTGGAGATGACGAAAATATTCCAATGCATAGATTTGATTTTATATCGCAACAATTTTTCATTTATTGGTAAATATATTGATTTATTTTATATAAATATAAAGATTTAATTTATATCAATTCAGTTATGCTAACAATTCACGGTTCAATTTACCCATTGATGTAGTAGGTTGGTTGTGGACGAGGTTGGTGATTATATCGAAATAAAAGATATGATAAAACAATGAATAATGATTTAGGATTTAAATTATTAAAAAAATTTCATTTCACATTAAAGATTTTATATAACGGAAAAAATATCATATTTACAATTTATTTATATTTGATAAATTCATTATAAATTATAGTAAAAATAAATATTAAACTTTTGTAATTTTGACTGAAATTATTAAATACAATAAATCAAATAATTAAAAATCTTAGATGAAAAAACCGTGCATCGCACGGGTTTCCATATAGTGGAAAAATAAAGGAGGAAGACATAGTTAGCTAACAAAGAAATAGAGAAAGTGTGTGTCCTTAAAAAAAAGGAAATAGAGGAAGTGTCAACGTGGCAACCGACAACAAGCAGCTGGACATCCAAGCAACGAAGGCAGACCAAATGTGAAAACGAATAAGACAATACTACCCCAGGAAAATTGGGCAATTCAGCAACGGGGCCAATGGGCAAATGCAGTATTTTCCTGTTCATAAGGAACAGAAAATTTGGAATAGTCTCGGTGCCTAGGACTTTTATATAGTTTATAGATTGGTCCATTGTTCCAAAAAAAAAAAAAAAAAAACACAAGTGATTTCCCAAAATAATGTAATAACACAGACTAATTCCTTATATACATTGGTTTAAAAACTATTTCTCACGATACCATCCACACAAGCTCAGTTTCAAGGTTCGGTATTTGCAAGTGAAGTTTTAATTAATATAGAACCTCTATTGGTATTAGAGGTTATATACATGGTATTAGCGGTTCTATATAATTGGTTGTGAAAGCTAAAGTAAACGAGGTAGGTTCAACTTAGAACCGCTAAAGGTATTAGAGGTTCTATGCAGAGGTTCCATGCATAGAACCTCTAATGGTATTAGCGTTTCTATATATAGAAGCTCTAATGGTATTAGCGGTTTTATACTGCGAAATTCCAAATAGTAACCAATTCTACGTGGACGGTATTGTGGGAAATAGGTTATAAACCGACTTATATATGGAATTAATTTGTATTTTAGGGGTCGTTTAGTTGGATCATTTTTCCATCTAGTTTTTTGTTTGGTTGTGGTTTTAGTAATGGAATCTAATACTCAAGGGGTTTAATTTTCCCCATACCCATGAAATCTCATACCCACCCCTCCCCCTAGGATTCACAATCCATTCTATTAATGAATGATAAAATTCATTCCAACAATAAAACGAAATAATTTTGGACTAGTATGAGTTTTGAAATCCTTAACTCTCTAAAATGAGATTTCATACTAATCCATTCCAACTTGATGAACCAAACACCCACCTAGCAATATTCGAGGTAAATCACTTTTCACACGGTTTTCACGCTACAAAATAAAATAATGCATACTTGTATACCAATTATGCCCTTGGTGGAATTCTGACTGACCTTGTTACTTGTATCATCTTTCTTCTCCTCTCTCTCATCCTCCGTCTCCTTCCTCCGCCGTCCGCCATTGACGCGCATCTCCGGAGCTCCAGCTTCGATCAGTCGAAGTTGTTTTCCAATTCTGCACAATTCGAGAAGATGAGGCCATCTCCTGGACCAATCGACATTGCTGCTAACGCTAAGAAGCTTGATGTCGATAATCGCATTTCACTGCGTATCTACTTCAGGATCGCCGATAATATACTCCGACAGGTTATTCATCTACTTCAAATCTGAATTTAATTTTCTGTATAGTTTTATTGATCATAGATTTTCGCTTTATTCGGGGGTTGGTGAATTTTAGTTGATCAAAATTTTCTAAAATTGAGGTTGAACTTTGCGTTGTTTTCTATGTTATAGCAGAATTTTGGGGTAGGTTTGGTTATAACTGACTTGTGAGTGATTATGTAGAAAAAAAAATTGATTGTGGAATGAGTGGAAACAAATTATTTTGTTGAAATTGAAGAATTTTCTATTTTCAGTAGGGTTTTTGTAGGTTTTGATATGAAATTGAGGGAAATTTTCTGAGATTCTATTAATTGTCTTTATATTTTATTGTACCATTTGCTTAGGTAATTTGTGTGTATAATGAGCTATGCATCAGCGAACGTAACGGAGCACTATATTGGAATTGATGTATTCTTCATCTGGGGAGTTTGATTGTGTTCTTAATTATGATATGACCATTAGATTTGTCTTTTGGAGGTAGTGTAAATTGATGCCAGTATTGAGAAGATTAAATGTGGCATAAGTAAAGATGGCTCTGGGACACACCGTGCCGGGTCGTGCCTCGTGCCAGGCCCACGTGCTTTGGGGTTAGTTAGGCTGGCCCATGGCTCGGCCCACGAGTTTCGTGCCGGGCCGGGCTGAAGTTTTCAAAAGTTTGGCCCGTGCACGGCCTAGGCCCACGTGCCATCGTGCCGGGCTTGCGTGCCTAATCAAAATTGCATTGATTTTAGCATGCTTTGTCCGTTTGTCATGCCGGGCCGGTCGTGCCGTGCCATATCGTGCTTCTCCCAAACACAGTGGGCCCAAGCACGGCCCACACGCACAATACCGTGCCGTGCTTTTTTCGTGCTCGTCCCAGTGCCATCTTTAGGCATAAGTGAGTTACATTAATGTAATCAGCTATGTGAGTTGAAGTCTAGGCTCTTATACTTGTTCATTTTGGTTTGGATGATCAAAGAAGGGAATCATACAGAAGAAAAAGTTGTGTTATTGCCGCATTTCTGATATTGCTTCGGCTATTATCATTTTAACTTATTCAAAAACTTCTTACTTATTCTTGTTAGAATCAAAGAACCATTGATACGACTCTAATTGACTTGTTTTATAGCCAGTTGTTAATTGCGGTAATTGGAATGAATTTAAATGTAATTGGGAAGCAGTGTGACATACTTATGTCTATTGTAATGCAATATCACCCCAAACTTGTTTTTCTTCATTAGTGTCCCCTATATGGTAATGGAAGTTTTTGAAGAAAAAAAGGTAGTTTGGATTGAACTAATATTACCTATATACCATAGGAATGGACACTAATATTCTTGCAGATTATTTGTAGTTTCATTTCCATTATTTGTTACCACTTATTGAATTAACCATAGCAATACCTCACATGATAATGTTGTTACATACATATTGTTGTAAAATTATGGTCTTATTTTAATCAACCTAGGAGATGAAGACAAACAACACTAACTTGAAATATTCAAACCACTAAGCCAGATGTTAATAAATTTAGACCAAATCTCCATATTTCTGATTAGGAGAACGAAGCCTTGGTAGTGATTTGTAACTTTGAAGTTATTAGGAAAGAAAAATATATAAATTAGGTTTGGTAGTTGAAGCCTCCATACTACTGATGATGATCTGTCTATGTAGTTTGAAGTTATTAGGAAAGAAAATTATATAAATTAGGTTTGGTTGTTGAAGCCTACATACTACTGATGATGATCTGTCTATGTAGTTATTGTGATGTGTATTTTGACGGTTTATATTTGATGGAAGGATTTGAGTGATTTTAAGGGTGGAAATTTGAAAGATAGTCTTAGAAGGCAACGACTTCTAAGTTTGATTTTAGGAGTAACGATCCCAAAACCCTAGTTAACAACTAGTTTGAACCTTAACAAAGTTCTCTTCAAGCAAAAGCTCAATAATCTCAAATTATAATTCATAAAACATCTTGTTAAAATAATTGACATACAACTAGTATATATAGGAAAAATAAATCTATCCTACTTGCCCTGCAAGCAAACTAAATAAAAAGCCCTAATAATTAATTAATGAACCAAGAGAGCCCACTAATTAATTAACACAACTTTGGAAGCCCAAGGCCCCATAACTACTACTAAGAAAATAATAAAAACATTATTAAAAACTCACTTGTAAAACCCCTACTTTAAGAGTAAGGCAAAACCAAGAGAGTACCTAAATAAAGCAATAAAAATAGTTATAAGGAAGGGGACTCGATTCACATCATTCCCTCCCTCTTAAAAAAAAACTTGCCCTCAAGTTTCGTTCGGAAGACAAGGTACCAAGTCACTAGCCCTCATAGTAGCGCAAATTCCCGCTCCAAGAAGTACTTGAAAAGTATCATAATTCTCCCTATGCACAATCTTGAAAGGTCCTTCCTCTAATGGTTCATTCTTACCTCTAGAATTATTAAAGATTTTTTGAGCATTTAAAGATAAGAAAACATACTCACCAATCTCAAAAGGGTGTTGGTTTCTCAATGACAACATATTAGCCCTTCTTTCCTTTTTGTTAAGTTTAGGCATAATCAACAACTCTCTAGCAGGAGCTTGAATAGGTGGCGCCTTAGGGGGTAAAGGATGTAATTGGACTCTCTTATCCCCAACCTTCACTGAATAAACATTTGTAACACCATTAAATAACACCCCTCGATCATATTGCCAAGGACGACCCAAGAGTATAGAACAAGCAGTCATAGGTAAAATATCACACCATACACTATCAGAATATGAACCCATGGAAAAGTTCACCAAAGCTTGCCTTTTAACCTGTAGTCCATCTCCATCATGTAACCAATTAAGCTTGTAAGGAGTAGGATGGTCCCTAGTAGAAAGATTCATAGTGTCAACCAACTTAGTAGATGCAACATTGGTGCACGATCCCGTATCTATAATCAACGAGCAACTCCTATCACCCACTTTGCATATAGTATGGAACAAATTTTCCCTTTGCTCATGTGTAGTAGGAGGAACAAAATTAGCATGCAAAACTCTCCTTAAGATACCGATATGGTGATGTTCAGGTTCAGGAGTAATCTTTTCTTGACCCTCAAACTCTTCAAAATCAAACTCTTCCTCTGTATTGAGCAAACATGTACTCTCCTTCTCTTTCTCTTCTTGGTCAAGATAAGCCAACAACATTCTATGTTCCTTCTTGGATACCGTCACTTTGTTACCACAATCTCTAGCAATGTGTCCCATGCCTTGACACTTGAAACAAACTTTTTTCGCCAATGCAGCTTGTTCGGGAGTAACAACAATCATCTTCCCTTCATTGTTTGAATTGTTAGAGTTGATATTCGAACCCTCACCATTAAAGAATGACTTCCTCTCCTTGAAATAAGAAATTTTCTTTTCTTTCTCCTGTTTCTCAAATCTCTCTGCCAACCTTAAGACATCATCAAAGAACACATAATTTGATGTTTCCACCTTGTGAGAAATCGAAGGTGTTAACCCTTTTATGTATCGTCCAATCTTCATCTCCTCTTTTTCCTGCAAATCACAAAGCATGCACAATTTCTCAAACTCTTTAGTGTATTCAGCGACACTAAGATTCTTTTGTTCAAGATGATTCAACTTCAAGAATTGATCTTGGATAAATTCCCGTGGTAGGAACCGTTTCCTTAATTGTCTCTTCAACTCGTTCCAAGTATTAATTCGTGGCTCATCTTCTCTCAATCTCTTGGCACGTAAATTCTCAAACCATAGAGAAGCATATCTCGTCAGTTTTAGGTTTGCAACCTTGTAGGCTTTTTGCTCATCAAAACCTTTATAATCAAAGACCTTTTCCATCTGACGAACCCAATCTAAAAAGTCTTCGGCATCCCCATCACCTGTAAATTCCGGAAGTTCCAACAACTTCAAATCTCGATCATTGTCAATTGGAAAATTTCTCATGATTCCCCTAGGTTGTTCGTTGTTGATTATTCTTCCTTCCCCAATCACTTGAGTAGACAAAGTTTCAACCCTTTGATTGGTTTGAGCAATTTCTTGTGTACTCTTCTCAATTTTCTCATTCATTCGTTCAAGACTCGCATTAAAATTTCTCATCATATCAACAAGCATAGTATCCAGATCTTCCTTTGTTAAAGTACTCATGATGTCAAAATAATCACAGTCCTATTCGTGGCCAATTATCTCCAAAAATAATAATCTTGCAGCAAGTCGTACTAAAGGCAATAAAAATATTTTGATAAAGCAAACAAAGCAACTAATTACCAAAATACAATCACCTTAAATTAGTATGCTTTAAAATTCAATTAATACCACCGACTACGATAACTGCAACACAACAATAATGACGGCACAACTTATTCTTCTAACTAAACCAATACTTTGTAATTTGGCAGCAATTCCACTAACTCACCAAGCAAATTAAGAGCACATACCAACAAGTAAACTACTATGTAGAAGTTACGAGTACCTTTTGCACAGATACCAACGAATTCTGCAATTCATCCGCTTGAGTACGAATAAGGATTTTTTTTTTCTTCTTATCAATCGTGTAAGTCGGGAGAACTTACAAAACCTGGCTCTGATACCAATTTGATGTGTATTTTGACGGTTTATATTTGATGGAAGGATTTGAGTGATTTTAAGGGTGGAAATTTGAAAGATAGTCTTAGAAGGCAACGACTTCTAAGTTTGATTTTAGGAGTAACGATCCCAAAACCCTAGTTAACAACTAGTTTGAACCTTAACAAAGTTCTCTTCAAGCAAAAGCTCAATAATCTCAAATTATAATTCATAAAACATCTTGTTAAAATAATTGACATACAACTAGTATATATAGGAAAAATAAATCTATCCTACTTGCCCTGCAAGCAAACTAAATAAAAAGCCCTAATAATTAATTAATGAACCAAGAGAGCCCACTAATTAATTAACACAACTTTGGAAGCCCAAGGCCCCATAACTACTACTAAGAAAATAATAAAAACATTATTAAAAACTCACTTGTAAAACCCCTACTTTAAGAGTAAGGCAAAACCAAGAGAGTACCTAAATAAAGCAATAAAAATAGTTATAAGGAAGGGGACTCGATTCACATCATATTGGTTAAGTGGCCATCGGATAATAATATAAAAAACGATAGAATATGCTAATTCTAGTCTGCTAAGGAGTTAAGTTATCTACAATTTCAAGTAATTCCAATTGCTTATTTTGTTTTCCTTTCCTGTTTTGAAGCCTTTGTTTGCTGCTTAATATTGCCACCGTAACTTTTACAGGCTACTATCTTCCGGAATGAGAAGAATATTATAGACCTCTATGTCATGCTTCTACGATTTTCAAGGTAAAAATCATTTTGCCTATCGTTATTATAAATTAATTTTACGCACTGGATTTATAATTGGCATATTTTTAGTTATGGGAAATATTATATGTGGATCACATTGTAGAAATACTTGTTACATTGTAGCCACGACCAACTTTAGGTTCCTTTTTTTGTTGGATAGGAAAATTGATGTAACTTTTATGGGACAAAAGGAATGTAAAAGAATATGAAAGGTTACTTTAGGATCTGTTCACCTTATTTTCAATTACTTCAGGGAAAGATAATGCAGATCAATTAAATTCGAGAAAAATAAGTTCAATTGAGATAAAACAAATTATGACAAGTTCTACTGAGTAAAATGAGGGCTACTTAAGTTCAATTCATAAAAAATAACTTAGTTCCTTTGTTATTTGATTCTTCCACTACTCGCATACTATGGTTTGGTAAGGCTGATGCCAGCTTGAAAATGAAATCCTCTTAACGAGCGTAACTTTTTGTAAAACCAGTCTTTTAGTAGGAAAGTGCATGAATTCTTGGAAAAATAGGAAGCAAGCCTTTGTTTAGTAAGTTTGTTTCAATTCATATATTGAAGATATCAAATTTTATACTTATTGGCTAGCGTCAAAGTCAAAATGTTGGAAGAAAGTAAGATAAGTTCAATTTAGGAAGAATTAGTTCATATTAGTAAGATTCTATGTAGTCATGATAAGTGAAAATCAAGTGACTAAATCATAGTATCGTAGTGGGTCACATTGAACTTACTAATTAATCTAGGTGATTAATAAATAGTTTCATATCCACCCTCAATATCTCACAAAAGCACCCTTAAATGTATAGTATACCCCCCCCCCCCTCCTTCCCTTTTGTCATCCCTCCCCAAAGTCTGAACCTCCTATGAATTTTAGGGTAATGTTTTCACAAATATCAAGATATGGCACTATTGACAAAAATATGAGATTTACCTATTGCTCCCCCCAAATCACATCTGCTATACATGTTGATTTGTTCTTACTTATATGATTTTTTTTTTTTTTTTTTTTTATGTATCTAGCTATTTACCTTTTGCCTTTTTTCAGTTTGGTATCTGAGACAATTCCTCGCCATAGGGAATATGCAGCATCTCCACAAAGCAAAAAAAGTTTATTGAAAAAGGTGATTAAAGAATAAAATTACATGTATGTTGTTTGCTTTTGTTATGTTTTATCTTAGTTTCAGCTGTAGAAGATTCAGAAAAACATATGTATATTATGAGTGTTTAACTTTCTGTTTGGCGATTTATTTCATTTGTTTTATTTGTGCAGCAATTGATAATTGCCTTGAATGAATTGGAGGCTCTGAATCCTGCTGTTAAGCAGAAAATTAAAGAACATGAAAGAAAGCCCATGTACCAAGTTATTGGATGGAATCATAATGATCGTCCTAATGAAAATCATTCTCTTAGTTCTTCTGTGCAATGGCCTCTTATCAATGCACCCTCTCCAACTAATTGTCAAGTAGTTAAGGTACATTTGTGTCTCTCACTATCTTTTTTCTGGAATCAAAACTGGCTTCTGCAAAAGTTTCTGTACTCACATTTCATTGTTGCATAAGGCAACACAAAATATTTCCAGGGGTGCATATGGAGGTTTAAATGCTCAGCAGAATGTTTACACCATCCCGGTGGAAGAGAAATTTCACAAATTGTAAGTCTTAGCATTGTTAGCAAGATAAAAGTTTCATGCAATGTTCTCTTTGCTCTATAGTTTGAAAAAATCTATATTTTGCATATGCAACATCAGTTTATACTTTATATTGCTGCTCTTAAAGAATCAAGTGATATTCTTCAAAAAAAAAAAAAAAAAAAAAAAAAATAAAAAAAAATAAAATTCAAGTGATATTAGTAATTGAGATACAAGTTTTTTTCTTGTCTAGAGTTAAAGTTCATTATCTGTTAATTCTTCTTTTCTACAACTTGCCTTGTGACTTTTAACCCTTGCATCGCCAGTATTCTAACTTTCTGAGCAAATTGTTCTTTTTGATGAGGTTTTATATCTGCAGCTTGTTAATTTTTTAGATACAAAAGCCTTTTTCTTTTTTAATAGGTATAATTACCCTGGGACAGATGTCAGAACTCTGATGGTGTCTAGAATTTAACATAATAGTTCCAATATGGTTTTGTTGTTCTGTATCTGATATAAGTAACGTGACAGTCTGAGGCACTATGTTGGTTCTGGATCTTGACTGTTATAGTTTGGTTTGCTGCTGCTGAAATTTACTTTATTCATTTATTTTATATTTATTTTCTTATAGAATTTTACCACATCTGTTCATCTGTTTGGGATTGTTTGGTCGGGCAATGAACATTTTTACTTAATTTATGGTCTCATAAACTTCTTGCCAACACATAGGTTTTTCTCATGTTTTTCTTCATTGTAATGCATATCACACCTTTCTATATTCAAATCCTCATGAACCTTAGTCTATCTGGAAACACAGGTTTGACGTTGTATATTAACACTGAAATAATCACTTTTCATATAAATAGTCTTTCTACCCTGGCATTGACTTTTCTCATAATTCTATTGAGGAATATAGTATCATGCATTAAAGTAGCACCAAGGGAGTCTGGGAGTGTTTTTTTGTGTACAGTAGGGAGGGCCATGAGCACCAAGTATGGCAAAATTATGGTTTGAAGTTCCAACTATACATCAGTCTCGTCTAAATTTTCGAGCTAGACAAGTTTTGCCCTTGAAAGTTTGCTAATTTACTTCCAAACTTGCAGCACCATACTGCCTTCACCTTTGTTCACCCTTCTTTTCCAATCCTTAAGCACATCTTTGTGCTTTCCAGGTTGCTACCAGCTCATCCTAAACTATGCTAATTGTTGGTGAGGATGATAATTGTTTATTTTGATCATAATTCTTTTGCTTGTTAGTTTTTGATCCTGATATTGACTATAGTAGGTTCATGCAGTTGTTGGTTAGTTTGCATCAGATTCATCTTATTGAGCTGAATGATAAACAACTAAGATTTTGATGTTGTTATAAAACTGCAGTTACATATTGATGTTAGGTAAGGTTGTAACAAGTGAGACTTAGAAAGATCTTTACCTGCCAATTATGTTTTTCTTGCTTTCATTAGCCATATATCTTCCCTAAATTTTACTGTTGGGTTGTGTTGTGTTGATGACTTGATACTTATACAGATCTGTTTCCTTTCCCCGGCCAAAGGAGGAGACACTTTTGAGGCATTCAATTTTGGGACCAAATGGGCTCTGCAGGCAATGGCAACCACCCGTTTCTGATAAAGGGGTACATGGTCATAGCATCTGATTTATTTTCTAATTGCCAATATGTGTGCTGATTTTTCTCTGATGGATGCAGGTTCGATATCCCAGTAATATTGATACGACTCCTGTTGAGATTCCAAGGTAGGTCTGATGGTTATGCTCTGTCCATGTCATCTATTTTAACTACTATGAGATGATATATGCTATACCAATTGTTTCTGTCAGAAGAAAAAAAATATCAGTGTATATATGTATCCCTGGATGTAGAGACTGCTATGAATGTTTTACTGCAGTAATCTAGTTGATACCTTTGCTAGTGGGTGTGGGTGAAGGAATTCTCATGTTTAATTTTATTATGCGTTGTGCAGTATCAAGATGCATCTTAGTATTCTTTCATTTGTGTGCATCATAGAGATACATTAAATGACAATCGTCTTGTAGATGTGTGGAACCAAACCTATCAGTATCGTTTTCTAAACAACAATGATAATTCAACACCCCTAGAGATGGTGTCGTGCATTATATGTTGGAGATGTCATCGTACCCAGGTTTTTAATTGCTTTATGGGGTTGGTAGTTAACTCTGAAATATCCTATTTAAATGGTGCTTGTATTGCATAAAAGAAACTGCAGTGATTTTTGACTGTTCTGTCCTTTCAGCTTGGGGTTTATTTGTTGTTATTTCTCTTGTTCTGTGGTTTGGGTTGACAAGCAGGCTCCAACAGGTCATGGCTATTGAAGATGGAGTTGCAGCTAATAAAGATGATAGCACCGTGGATTGTGAAAAACCAATTTTTCAACCTACAGTTGAACCTAGTAGTGATAGTAGTCAGCAGCCACAAGATGACGAAAAGCCAATGATTTCATTTGAAGAACCCGATGTTCCTGAGACTGTTATTGTGAAGCAACCTAGCCCGCCGCCTGTGCTTTCAGAGGTGCAAGACTTAATCCCTTCCGAGCCACCTCTAAAGACTGAAAAGCTTGACACAATGGACAGTTCTTTGCAAGATAGTTTGCTTCAGCCAGAATCTCCGATGGAGTTGCACATAGTAAGAATGTTAGCTGCCTCTTTGTTAATTTGACATGTTAGTTTAGTTTTAATTATTTTTCATATAGTGGTTTATTTGAATTGTTTCTGCCTTATGCCATCTCATAGTAGATATCTTTCTGGAGCTTTTGGTTAGATTTTGTTGGGGTTAGGGTGAGAGATGAGAAGCAACTAGAGCTGTTAGATTAGATCTTAGCCACCAACTGATATTCCTTTTTAAGAGAATATAAATATTGGCTAAGATGGTAAGAAATGTGATTTATATCCATGAGGTTTAGTGTTCGAAACTTGTCGGATGCCATATTGTATAATTGTTGTAATGCTTGATAATGGTGACGTGGCGCAATGCTAGTTAAATGATGACGTGGCACAATGATAGTATAGATTTATGTGGCACAATGATAGTATAGATTTATGTGGCACATAAACGTTTGAAGGAACACTTTTAATTTTGTAAAGTATAGATTCGTATGAAGGATGTATGAGGTGTGGTATTGTGAGCGAGAGGGCATTTTTGTATTTGTATCTCTCGTTCTTCATTCCTTAACCTGCATGCCAAAATGAAGCATTTTAACTAAAAACGAATGGAGGAAGTACTGATTTTGACCATTTTTTTTCTCTGATTTAACCCTCATATCTCACACTATTAACACGTCCCTCTCACTCTTCTTTAACTTTATCCACCCTCAATTACACCCACTCACTTTTTCCAAGTTTTCATAGAAACAAGAGTCCATTAGTTAGCCGAACTTTTGGGAATGAAGGTATACATATATTTTTTTTTTTGTTGCCTATCACAACTTTGCATCGAGGACCGTTTTATTAGTGGCGGATCCAAGTTTCCAGTTAGGGGTAGCATGGAAAATTTTAAACAAAAAAAATATACGAAGTATTGAATAACTGAAAAATCGGACTTCATAGGTGGTCATATATAAAAATTTCGCCAAAAAAGTTAACAAAATAACAGACCGATGCAATGTAATGTGATGTTATTTGACTGAGAACTTATTAAAAAAAAAAAAACTGTGAAGTTGTACGGAGTATTAAATTTGTATATATTTTTTTATAATTAATGCTAGTAGTTTTCAAATGTAGCTAATTAATCATTACGGTTAACAAAATATTTCATACTCTTCAAAAAATTAAAGTGTGGAAACGAAAAAAAAAAAAAAAAGACTTAGAAAGGAAAAAGTCAATGAAGAAAATGGGGATTGAGAGGGTTGAACCCCAGATGTGCCGCACAACAACCAAAACTTAGCTAAAAGCCCATTTACCACTGCAGCAAGCATTGAGATTAGTTCTAATTGAGCAGTTTTAAAATTTTATACCAAATTACTAGGGGTAGCATGTGCTACCCCTAGTTACTTTGTAGATCCGCCAGTGGTTTTATCCTTCTCAAATAGTGGTAGTATAATTAGAAATCTTATACCAAGTATGAAATTGTTTAGAATATGAAGATGACTCTCCATAGTACTAAAAAAGAATTTAACACGTTAAATTTTATCAAATTAACGCTTTTTTCTCCCCAATTTTAACTAAAAATCAGTAGACTGTATATTTATTCGTTTATTTATTTATGTATCTACTTTTCTGAATGATCTATTGCGCTGCTGACAGTCGACAAGTATGATGGATACTTTCTTGAGATTAGCTAAATCAAACACCTCAAAAAATCTGGAGACATGTGGTATTCTTGCCGGTTCACTTGTAAGCTCTTCCAACTATTTTTTTTTTCTTTTTTTTTTTATTTTTTAATTCTACAATATGATGGTTGGTGGAATCTTAACATTATGGTGGTTTTTTTTTCTCTGTAGAAGAACAGAAAGTTCTATATTACAGCTTTGATTATTCCGAAGCAGGAATCAACATCCGATACTGTAAGTTGATTTAAATTATACACTTCGTATATATGTACATCTGCATCCCTGTTCTTTATGAAATATAATGTTTTGATCTGTCTTTATTTTAATCAAGCCTTTTTTTGATCATATGACTAGTGTCAGGCAACAAACGAGGAGGAGATATTTGAAGTGCAAGATAAACAATCGCTTTTCCCACTGGGATGGATTCATGTACAATGATCTTATTATATTTCTTATATTTGCTATTATTTTTAATTCGTGAAATCTGATTGGTTGTTTTTTGCTACCATGTGTGTTACTCAATTCTGCTCCATCTTCCTCTCTGTTTTTCCCCATTCCTTTTTTGTGCATGATACATAGAATTTTGATATGAAAATTCTTTGCTGATGTTTTTTCTAATCCTCTGCGAGAATTCTTAGAAATGGTTAGCCTGTACACATGATATGGCGTACAGTAATTCTGGAAATACAAATGATAACTAAATCATATTCCTTCTATTGATCATCTGTTAAAAGTTTTGCATGCAAGTATGGCAGGACCTCTTTCCATTTCTTCACTTTCTTCATTTTACAGAGGTATATACATTGTAGCACCAGTTGTATAGGATTTTTATATTAGACTTCGTCCAGTGCTGCATATTTATCAACATTTTTTAATCATTATTGTTGTCATTACAAATATAATCAATTAATTAGCAATCAGCATCACCTTTTTCTAGATAATGGGGTTTCGTTTTGTAATCCTATGCTCTAGCTCTATGTTACTTGGACTCAGGTACCCATGTCCGACACGGGTACGTGTCTAAGTGGCTGACTCGGCTATTTTGTGAAAAAAATCCATGATTTTAAACTAAAAGTGAAGTGTCTGAGTGTCATACCCATATCTGAGTGTCGAGAATCCGACACGGGTACGTGAGGTGAAATGAAGAGTCCGAGTACCATAGCTCTAGCTGTCAAATTGTGTCATGGCAACTAAATTAAGGCATATTTCTCTTAAATGGCTAATACTAGACTATGAAAATAGTTGCCTTTGATCTAGAGACTGTTGAATTTTTCATCTTATATACATTTTATGCAATATTTTCCAAGTAATAGAGTTCTTTCATGAGTAACTAATGTCCATTGCATGTTGCTATTGCCAGACTCATCCCACACAATCATGTTTCATGTCATCAGTTGATGTTCATACCCATTACTCATATCAAGTAAGTGATTTCTAAACCTTTTTACTACGTATATTTCTCTCTCTATTTTTTTTTCTTGGGGGCTGGTGTTATGATTCTTGAACAAGCCTGAATTGTCAAAGATGTTTTAAAGATATTATCATATTGGCTGTATCCTAGGTTGTGTTCTGTTTTCTTGTGTCTCTGAATCATCTATATTTTCCAAGTTGATTGGGGACATTTCACAAATGATATTGAAGCTATCTGCATGAAGTATAGTGATAGTTGGGCTCTGGAAAACTTTGTACTCCCTCCATCCCAATAGTTTGTGTTTTTTAACGGTATTTAAGAAATGGGAGGAGAAAGTGGATGATGTGCATAAAAAAGAGGTGAAAAGTATAATCATAGACAAAAGTAGAGAGGAGAAAGTGAATGAAGTACATAAAAAGGGTGAAGAGTACAATTATAGATAAAAATTAAAGAGAGAAAGTGGAAAAAAGTATGAACAACTGGAAAATTCAAGGGTAATCTAAGAAATACAATGAATAAAGTTAAAAAATAAGGGTATAAATGTCTTTACATATTATCCAAAAATAGAAAGAGGAACACCATTTTGGATCTCCAAAATAGGAAAACAGGAACTATTATATGGGATGGAGGGAGTACGAAGTATGAGTTACAAGGTCCATTAAAAGCTAGGATAAATATTTCTAACTTTTGTCATTCTTCAAGAAATGGCCTGCGGCTTTGTGAGAGAGATAAAAATTGATGAGAAATGTGATGGTTAGCTGAGAAGATGTAAGAATACATAGAAACGTAAACACCTTTGCTTTAATTCTCTGTATTTAACCTTTAAAGTTGAAGATGATTTTCTTTAGGTATGTTGGAGAATGTTACATTTATTTGCTTGCCCTGAGCAGATTTATGGTCCTGTGCTCTTCCAACGAGGCATTTGGCCTCAAGAAGCCCCTTTTAAGTTCACTGGACCTGTTTTATATTGGAGAATTTCTGCAAACTTCATAGCTTCCTGAGTTTATTTATCAATTAACATATTGCAGTTGAAATAGCTATGCTTTCTCAGCTTTAGTGACAACAGAAACTTATCTGAATATGTAGTTAATATTTTATGTTGCCTGATTGGTCAAGTCCACTTGCAGGAAATCTTTAATTGTATTGTGTTACAGTATCTGCTCTTCTGACTGACAATAGTTTAGTTCAATTTCATTGTGGTACAGGATCTGCCCTCTAGGGCATATACAGATAACTTTAACTACTACCTCCGTTAATTATTATCTGCAACAAAGGGGTATTATTTGTGAGACATAAAATATTCCTTTGTTGCACATAATAATTAACGGAGGTATTCAAAATTCATAAAAAAATAAAAAAAAAATTGGAGGTGAAGAAAATAAAACAGATTTATTGTTGGAAAGTTATTCATTTTGCTAAGCATTAATGATAGAGATTGGTGTCCATGGCTTTATAGTCCATTGTGAAGCCAAACTAGTTTTCTCTTTTTGGAAAGAGAGGGGTTGGGGGGGGAGGGGTGGTCAGGCACTCAGGCTACCTGCGTGAGTAAAACAAAGAATAACATAGAGGTGTTGACATGTATGTATAGGGAGCTGGCGGGGTTAAGGATTTAGTGTTAGCACTTAGGCCATGCCTGTTTTTTGAAGTTCTCTATTTTACATATTCAAATATGCTATGCTGGCAGTAAATTGACAATGAGAAAATGTGACAAATTATGTTTGGATATGATTTTTTATCTGGCAAATATATTGTAGAGATGACAGAAATCTAATTGTCTTCTCAGGTCATGTTGCCTGAAGCTGTTGCGATTGTTATGGCACCAAGAGATAGAACCAAGTACGTTACTTGTTACTGCACCACTTTCTATCGGGTTTATTGCTGTGATTTTGTGTTTGTAGCTATCTTTGAACGTTTGTTTTTTTCACAAGCAGAACTCATGGCATTTTCCGATTGACAACCCCTGGCGGCATGTCGGTTATTAGACATTGTGATCGGCGTGGATTTCATTCACATGAGCAGCCTGCTGATGGTGGGCCCTTATACAAACAATGTACAGATGTATATATGAATCCCAAGTTGAAGTTTGATGTTATTGATCTTAGATGATTATTGATTAACTCCATGAATTCCCCCCCTCCCCCATTTCTGGTTCTCCCAAAGGCATTGCGTTTTTCTTTGGCTGTGTAATTGTCAGACACAACAAATTAACAGTACATATTGTAAATTGAGAAAGTAATAGATTCATTTTGATTTTCTTGTCTACTGGCTATAGCCTATAGCATTTTGAAAGATTTGATCATGCTAAGCATAAATCATTATTATTCATTGCATAAATAATGAATATCATTAAGTTGTCCAAATTACTCCGTAATACAATACATGAACTAGAAGTTCGACAATCCCTCTGTTACATTTTGATATCCTTGAATTGATTGTGCATAGTTGTAAACGCGTTTTTGAATTTATATACATCAATCGTATTGAAAGAGTATAGAAATTTTAGGTATTATACTCGCGGATCCACAGATGAACACGGGGTAGCACGTGCTAGCCCTGAAAAAAATTATAAAAAAAAAAAAAAAACTTTTGCCGTTAAAATAAGCTTCAGAAAAGTACAGTATAAATATACATTGTTTGTTAGTTACTTTGATATAGGTAGCGTTGTCTTGGTGGTTTTGGATGTGTGAAGAGGATGAGAATTGTTAGTTAGGGTTTGAATCGCATTATATAAAAATTTAACCCAGTTTGTTCGATTGACTGGTTTTTTTTTTAATTTTTATTTTTATTTTTGTTAAATCTAGTGCCATTCCTAGTTTGAAATCCTGCATCTGCCACTTTATAGGTGGACATTATTAGCTCATCCCTCGGAATAGAGATGAGTTTTAGTAAATAAAGCGCATCAATATTAATCGGTGATGATGTTTCATGGATCCAACATAGATACAGTTCTTTATAGCCTGAAACTTCTAAGAATCATAGGTAGTCGAATCATTAAATTGAGAAGAAACTACTAAGTGCAACTTGATCGACTTCAACAAAGTGAAAAGTTTCCAATCGCAACGTTCGTGTTACTGTCGTTGTGATTGCGGGAGGGTGTTAGAGATATAAGATATCGGAAAATATATGCGTGATATATTTTCTGAAGATATCCTTAAGAGAATGATATATTTATGATATTTATGTTATGATATTATTTAGAGAATATCTTTATGATTTATGGTTATGCTAGTATATCTTTTACGAAGATTATTTTCTATCTTATGAGCTTTGGTGTTGTATAAATACTCAACCTATTGATGAATAATAATCAAGCAATACAAAGCCATTCAATTATCTTTTCTCTCTAATTTATCATGGTATCAAGAGCAGGTTAGATTTTGGGAGTTTTCACAAAAATTTTCCCTGCCGGTGGGTTATAAAATTAAACCCACCGGTGGGATAAACCATTAGCCAAATTCATGTATAAATTTTTTTTTTTAAAAAAAAAGTCGTGAGTGAAAGAATAGTGCCTTTGTATCTCTTTGATATTGTTGTTAGTTGACGGAATAGTGGTGCGGTGCTTTATCACTATTTGTGAATCTGTGATGTGGTTGATGGTGGATCATATGGTTGGAGTCAAGAACAATATAGTCTTGGCAAACCTTTTTTTTTTTTTTTAAAAAATAAAGATTTTCGGCTCTTTTGTGTCGTGAGACAAGACATATAGGTTCTCCTTATACCGTGAAACAGGGTTTATATTGGTTCTCCTTGTGCCGTGAGACAAGGATTTTAAATGTTTTGAGTGTGCTTTACTCTGAAAAACCAATATTTGTTTGAAGCCCGGTTTTGCTCAGGAAAAACCAAATAATATATGATGAGTTCGAGAAAAGAGAAGTTCTCGTTGTAATTTTTTTGCAGGTTAGAAAAGAATGACGTTCCTGCTTAGTTGATGATTGATGGATTCGAAAAGCTGAACATCTCATCATTCAAAAAAATAAAATAAAATTGAAGGCGACATAAACATAATAGTGTATCTCGATCGACTTCAACAAAAGTGAAAAAAATGTAGGCGACATCAACAGAGTAGTGCAACTTAATCAACTTCAACAAAGTGAAGAATTTCCAATCGCAACGTTCGTGTTACAGCTGTTACGATTGCGGGAGGGTGTTAGAGATATAAGATATCGGAAAATATATGTGTGATATATTTTCCGTAGATATCATTAAGAGAATAATATATTTATGATATTTATGTTAAGATATTATTTAGAGAATATCTTTAGGATTTATGGTTATACTAGTATATCTTTTAGGAAGATTGTTTCCTATCTTATGAGCTTTTATGTTGTATAAATACTCATCCTATTGATAAATAATAATCAAGCAATACAAAGCCATTCAATTATCTTTTCTCTCTAATTAATCATTTTTTTTTCATCATTTACCAATGTTGTTTCACAATGTCTGTTAGGTCACGTTTGGTTTGAAATAATATGTTTTCATAGAAATTAGTTTTTTCATATTTTTTCCATTTTCCTTTATTTGGTTTGTGAATGGTGAAAAATAACTTTTCCAAAAGATGAAAATTGCATCATTAATGGTAAATATCTTTCTTTATAAATTATAAAATAAGGAAGTCACACTTTTCTCCATCATACATACCTTCATTTTACTTTCCTCTCATATATTCCACATTTTCACTTCTGTTTTTTTAATGGAAAATATAACAACAAACCAACCTTTGCTTCGTTCTCCCAAAATGGATCAACCTTTAAATCTTTCCAAAATAAATACAAGTTTGTATTTTTTCTCCCATAGCAAACCTAGGAGGTCACTTGACCTGTTATACCAGGTTGCAATCCACGTGTCATGTCCTCATTGGTTAATTTTTATTTTTTATTTTTTTGATAATCAACAAAAATTATTTATTTTAATTTCTTAAATTAAATAAATAAGAAAAAAAACACCCTCCTTTCCCCCCACCACTGCGAGCCCCACTCCCCACCAGCCACCCCTCCTCAGCCTGCCAACGCCAACGCCCAACCGCAAGCAGTACCTTAACACACTGAAAACTCATGCAACTCCCCTGCTCCCTGCACAACTGCACTCCACCCGCATCTAATTAAACAGAGCAGCCCGCACCAACCACCTAACACCACCGCCCAACTATCCTCTCACCTTCAATTTTTACTTCACCAAAATTAGCCACCAAACGCTACACTTCACCCTCACCGCTGCACAAATTCGGCCACCATATCATCCCACATCACCATATCAGCCTGCATCCAACTTCACTTGGCTGCCACACATCAATTTTACCAAACCATAACTTCCCTATAATCGCAAAACCTAGCAAATCGCAAATCATCCATTTAGGGTGATTTCAGTGATATTGGGTGGGGAAGAGGAGGAAAGGGAGGGGGGTAGGGTCATTGGCGCCTAGGGGTAGGTTGGGCGCCGACAGGGGGAGGGAGGGGGAAGTGGCTGGCAGTGGGTTGGGGAAGAGGATGTTGGGTTTCGTAGACTCCGACTCTACGCGGAAGAGAAACCCGCCCACTAATCAAGACAACTAAGCATGCAATCACATATTAAACAACAATTAAGAGAGAGAAGGAAAATACATTCATACCCTTGGCGCGTGCTTTGCTCGATCCTGAGCTCTTACTTCAAGACCCGAACCCTGCAAACGCGAAGGTCTCTAATGGCTCGTACCCACGAACCCGACCCAAACGGTCCTAGTCTCGAAGGTTAGTCGGGACTTGACCAATAAAAACTAGAGTTTTATGAACTTCAGGTTTTCTCACTTTTCTAAGGAGATGCCTTTTTAGTTCCATTCAAGTGTTCTTCCCAAATCCCAAAACTTGGGTATTTATAGGGAAATGAACCTTGATTTCCCATTCTCAATCAATGTAGGAGATTTGCAATTTCCCTATTTTATTTTAATCAAAACAAAATAAAATTGCAATTCAATCAACAAGTTACAAGTAGAAATGGGAGGAGAGGGAGAAGGTGAGGACCACCAAGGGAGGGGACCAATCCACCTTGCTCCCCAAGGCAAACACCAACCATTGGTCCCGACACATAAAACTGGACCACTCCTCCATGTGGCTGGCTGGCAGCCTACCTTGGCTGCCTAGGCTGCCAGGTGGCGCTTAGCACCAAGGCTTGGTAGCCTAGCCAGCCAGCTAGCACACACACGCACAACCAGCTCGCAATGCATGCGCAGCTAGCCAGCATAAGGCCAGCCAGCACGCATGCCTCGCTGCTGCTTGGTGCGTGCTGTTGGGCGCTGCTATACGAGGCTGCTACTTGATAGCCCACACGCACAACCCAGCATGCCCAGCACGCTGCTGGCTGGTGCGTGGTGTTGTGCGATGTGCGAGGCTGCTGCTAGCAATGCGCCAGGCCCTAGCACGCTAGCAAGCACGCACAGCCCAGCACGCTGCTAGCATGCTGCGATGCTTGCGGCTGCCGGCTAGCGATGGATGGGTGCTTGGCCTAGCATGCTAGCAAGCACGCACCATTCTTGTGATGCTTGCGGGCTGTGCTAGCCCATGCCTAGCACGATGCGATGGCTAGTGTTGCTGTGCTAGCACGCCTAGCCACGCATGCACGCATCTTGCGATGCTTGTGCCATGCGATGTGCGTGTGCTAGGGGATGCTAGCTTAGGCACGCATTGCTTGGGACCTTGCCTAGCCTAGCACTCACATGGCTAGGCGAATGCGAGGCTACGGCTAGGATCGAACTTGTTACTTGATTGATTTCACGTCTCGTCGAATTCTAAATTCGACTGACTTGCGACGCTCGGTCTCGACGCTCTAAGCTCGATATCCGACGTCTTTGTTCGTAATACTCTGATAACTCATCAAATCCTTCGGATTGATTCGTCATCTCGGATCGGTGGTTCGATTGGGTTCGACCCAAAGGGTTCAGTCAAATTAAGCTGTAATATCAATTGTACATTAATATTACTGATCGGAAGCGGTCTCCACCTAGGCATTCCGATCACTTAACCTTACTGAAGAATTAGCTTTCTAATAGTTCTGAACCCTCTACCGGAATAATACACTTGTTGGAAGGACACCATTCCTTTCAATCTCCCATTTATCCTTCCGGACAAGTTTGCAATTAGTGTATAGCCCCTTTCCTATGTCGCTTATTGTCTCTTCATGAACTATAAGGTAAGATTCTTCGTCATCCGTATTACGTCTAGAAGTGTTTCTCGATTCTCGAGTTTAACTGTTTATAAACAGATGATTTCTAAAATCCATCTGAGCACGGCCATGCATTTTCACAGTCTCGCTCTTTG